TGTTCTGCCACAAGACAGAACAAATGTTAGGGAATTGGACACTGGCTGTGAGGCCTTTGCGAGTTACTTTGCAGATAAAGTCCTGTCACTCCACCATGACCTCCCCACCACAGTTGAGACAGTAAGTGAACTCGAGGCTCCATGGACGTCTTCTAGTCAGGTTATGGATTATTTCAGTCTGCTCAGCCTGGAGGAAGTTGACAAACTGCTCTTAACTGTATGCTCTATCACATGCTGCCTTGACCCGTCCCCATCATGGCTAATTAAAGCTGGCTGTGATGCGTTTCAAGATGCCCTAAGGGAGATTATCAACAAGTCCCTCTTCAACAAGTCCCTCTCGGAGGGACAGTTCCCTAGGGCACTCAAGGAAGCTGTGGTTCATCCACTCCTGAAAAGCCATCTCTGGATCTGCCTGAATTGGCTAATTACCAGTCGGTCTCCAATCTGCCCTATTTGGGCAAAATAATTGAGAGGACTGTGGCAATTCAGCTACAGAGCTTTTTGGATGACACTTCCATTCTAGATCCTTTCCAGTCCGGTTTCCACCCAGGCCAGAGAATGGAGACAGCACTGGTTGCCCTCACGGAGGACCTCTGGAAGCATCTGGATCGGGGCAGATTGGCAGTGATGTTGCTGTTGGACCTGTCGGCGGTGTTCAACATGGTCGACCATCAGGTACTGATTCACTGCCTCACCGACACTGGAGTCCAGGGACCTGCCTTGAAACAGCTGGCTTCCTTCCTTCAGGGTCAGGGACAAAGGGTGGCACTAGGGGAGCAGCTATCCCAAAGGCACCCACTGATTTGTGGAGTGCCCCAAGGGGCGGTGTTGTCCCCAATGTTATTTAACATCTACATGTGCCCCCTTGCCCAGATTGCCTGGAGGCATGGGCTGGGATGTCACCAGTATGCAGATAACACCCAGCTCTATCTGTTGTTGGGCAGCCAGGCTGACTCTACACCGGAAAATCTTGACCGGGAGTTGCAAGCTGTAGCTGGTTGGCTCAGACTGAACCAACTGAAATTGAATCCAACGAAGGTGGAGGACCTGTGCCTGAGCCAGGGTGGCACAAGGGTAGGGATCCTACTTCTGACCTTCGATGGGGCGCCATTGGTGCCAGCGCCAGAGGTAAGGAGCTTGGGAGTGCTCCTGGATGTCTCACTAACAATGGAGGCCCAGGTAGCATTCACTGACAAATTAGCCTTTTACTACCTTGGCTGATTAGGCAGTTGGTTCCCTTCCTCAAATGCAATGACTTGGTGACAGTGATCCATGCGATGGTCACCTCGAGATTGGACTACTGTAATGCTCTCTACATGGGGCTGCCCTTGTGAGCCAAATCCAGAAGCTACAGCTAGTGCAAAATGCTGCAGCCAGGCTTCTGATGGGCCTCCCTATGCAGGAGCACATCCAACCTGTGATGAAAGCACTGCACTGGCTGCTGATAGCATCCCGAATTCGCTTCAAGGTGCTGGTACTTACCTTTAAAGCTCTTTGTGGTCAGGAGCCCACATACCTGAGGGAACACCTTTTCCCACACGTTCCCCAGGGAGCACTGCGCTCAGGGTCACAAAATTGATTGGCCTTCCAGATCCTAAAGATGCCAGGCTGGCCACAACCAGGGCTTGGGCCTTCTCAGTGGTGGCTCCATACTGGTGGAATGAGCTCCCAGAAGAGATCAGTGCACTCGGGACCTTTTACAGTTCCACAGGGCCTGCAAGATGGAGCTCTTCCCACCAGGCCTTTGACTGAGGAGCTGCACCAAGTAACATCAAATAACTGAGAAGTGGCAGTGCCCTGGCCCTTGGCTTACCACCAACAGCCTGTGCTGTTGCCTAAATATAGAGACCAAGACGAGCCAACCACCAATACAGATCATCTGATTACAACACTAGTATTGGTTCTGCCTTCTGTAAGCATTGTTATAAGTACCTGATCACTTACTAGCACTTTATGATAATGTAGAATTTTATTATTTGTTCTAAGGTTGTATATAATTTGTTATCTATATGTTTAATCTCTTTGTAAGCCGCCCTGAGCCCGCTCCAGCAGGGAGGGTGGGGTATAAATTGAAAAAATAAATAACGTTATTCACAAACTCTTTCATTTCTCAGCAGTTTTCTGCACTGCATCCACAAGCATTTTCCCCCATGTCCTCTTTTTCCATTGCTTTCTCAACTCTTCCTAGCATGAGCTGTGCCATGCTGAATCCCACAATATCCATCATCTCTACTTTCTTTGTCTCATGTTTTAAGAGGTTAATTATGTTTCTATACTTTGTGGAAGATTTCACCAAATGACTTTTACTCTTAGGAACAAAGTCCTTAAAGTACTTCATAACTAAACTGAAAACAATCTGCCTTCTCACTGGGAAGTCATCATGTTTCCACAAAAATGCAGTAATGAAAACAGAAAAACACAAACTGCATTCACAAAAATCAAAGGAATACTGACCTTACTAACCATTTTTTTAAAAAAACAGACAAATTACTGACCAAGATGAAAAAACTGACTTTTACTGATTTTACTGACCATTTCCCACCCCTGTAGCCAGTCAGACACCCTTGGGAAGGTAACAATCTCCCCCTTGTTCATCCCAGCACTCTGTACCCAAAGATATAGAACCTCCATTTGAAGAAGTTGTGTAGAATCACAGACTCATAGAATCACAGAGTTGGAAGGGGCCATACAGGCCATCTAGTTCAAACCCCTGCTCAGTGCAAGCATCCTCCATGAACACAGCACAGACTTTCAAATAGATTGGCCCTAGCCTACAAATCTTTACAAACACCCACACTGTGCAAACAACTTTGACAGTACTAGCTATTACTCTTTGGGGCTGGGGAAGTAGAATTGATCTCCATCTAAGCATGCAATCACTGTTGTCAAAGCAGCCTATGCCAATCATTCAAGAATGTGAACACTGATCTGATCCAGCAATAAGCAACATGTACACTGGATGCAGTCCCTATGCAGCATACTTTTGTGCATGAAGTAACCTATCTAGATGGTAACATATATTCAGATCAAAGTGGGCCCAGGACATTTAAGCACAGCATCAAGTGAAATCTCTCTAGTGCAGAGTTTTCAGTTAGCACAAGAATTCTCTCTTAATGTTTGCCATAATATGCAATTCCTCTTCCCCTATCCTCAGGTACAAGCAACATAGTCCCTTCTGCAGATCTGTACACAAAAGCTTCTTGTAAGCTTTAGAAACCACTGTCCATGGGTACCTACCATTATGCAACTTTCTCATATTTGCAAGGCAATCAAGCAGCACTTCGAGCATGAGCTAAGTCAGGGCAAAAGAACACCCTCATTAGTCCTTGAGCGAAAGGCCATGCCATTTTGAAGGGGTCACATAGTATTTGTTGTGAAACTAGCTCTGCATTCCTCACATGTATCC